AGGCAAATGCCTTGAAAGATTTATCTTTTCTCTTTCCATTAAATGAATGTTTTGTTAGCAACAATAATGGTTTTTAAAAATCAGCTTCCACATATTAAGAGGGCAGGTTATATGTGACAGGTTGTATGCTGAATATTTTATACTAGAGGTTCTCCAAGTGTAGTCTGGGGACCCCAGGATCCCCAAGACCTTTTCCAGGGATTGGCAAAGTTAAAATTATTTTCATAACAACTCTAAGACATTAGCTGCCTTTTTTCACTCTCATTCTCTCTTGAGTGTACAGCAGAGTTTTCCAAAAGCTACAATGACGTGTGATAACACATCAGACTGAACACAGAAGCACATAAGAGGATCCAGTTGTCTTCTATTAAACAAAACATTAAAGAGACACAAAAAATAAAACAATGTCACTCTTTTTCCTCTTCTTCTGTTTTAGAATTTGTTTAAAATATCTCCACTCTCATATCTAATCCGGTAAATATTAATAGATAAAACTTGCACAGAAAAAGCTCTTTGGAGTCCTCAACTTTTAAGTGTAAAGGGGTCTGAAGACCAATAAATCTGAGAACACCTGATTCATATTCAATCAACTTCTGAGGTACTGGTTCTATTCAATCATCATTCCCTTTACACAAATGAGGACACAACTGAGAAAAAGACACAGAGGTGACTTGCTCACGATCACACCAAACATCTCTTAAATCAGCATTTGAATACAAGTCCTAACCTTAACTCCTCACCACTGAGCAATTCATGATAGTTCAAGATCACTTTTAGATAGCTACATGTTAATCCCTGTTTAAAAGGCAATGTTCTATACTGGGTCTTTACTCTTTGACTTTCAGTCTTAAAGCATCATGACTGCTCATTGGAGTGCTTTAAATATATAGAATTAACTTTTTCTAAAAATCAAACACTGCCAAAATAACCCCCATCACCACCAGCGCCTTCAGCACCCTCTGAGAAAACTACTGATAGGAGTTTTACTTATATACATACACGCATAAATATGTTTATCTGGTTAAGCACATTTTTAAATGGATCTCACTGATTTAGTAACTAGCCTTATTTCACTTAATTTATCTTGAAGATCTTTCTGCACCTACAAAGAGATTTACCTCTTTTTGTATAGATTACCATCATTTATTCCTACTCAGTTGAGGTCCCCCTTATAGCTTACTATTAAAAAAACAGTCACAAGAAATATGATGTGCCTTTGTGTAGTTGTGAAGCCGTATCTGTTAAAAAGAAATTCCTAGAAGTAAAATTCTGGGTCAACGGGTATAAACGTTTACAATCTTATTAGATTTTGCCAAATGCCCTCCAACATGTCTGTGCCCAATTTACATTCTCACTAATACCACATGAGAGTTCCTCCAGAAACTGAGTTTTCGGGTGCCTTAGAAAATTACACTTAACGTTGCTTCAAAATGCCAAGTAATAAAACTGTTTTCACTGGTCAACTTAATTCCATACAGAACTCTACACAAATCTTATAACACTCACTGAGTGTATCAGTATAGTTTTCCATCTTTATTTTTCCTTACACCTTTTAAAAATACCTCAAAAGAGAAAATACACCAGGTGCATACAATATCTGCAACTAGTAAGCCCTCAAATTTTAGATACCCTGATAAAAAGTTATTCAAATTATTTCAGAACACAAATCAGAACGACACAGTAAAGCTGGGTCAAACACTTAAATCAAAGGAAAGTTATAAATGTGGATTTATTATGCTTTATCTGCCCACTCAAAGGACTAAGGCTACAAATAAAAAGCTATCAATTCATACCACTGGCCAAATTAGCTTACATAAAATAATAAGCAACAGATTTCATATCATAAATGTCAGTGGAACAGATTGTAATAGTAAGGATGGCTGTAATTGAAAAGAAAGTTCATTCAAATTCACATTATACTGAAAATGAAAACATTAATATTTTAAATGAAATGTTTTGAATGTGACTATTCATTTTAGTCATATCAGACTATTATAAATCTTTGGTACTAACAAGATATGGTCTTTTTATCAAGTAGATGTTTTTAAAATGCATTATACTCTGACCTGCCTATTCTGGATACTCTAGGTTTCATCATTTCATCAAAATATCTCTCTCTCTCTCTCTCTCTCTCTCTCGACTTTGTGTTAGTAGTTTTAAAATTGAAAGTCTCCAATATATCTTTGGGACAGAGTAAAACCTCATTAAATCAAATCCAATTAGCTCAATTCTGAAATGGCATATGTAATTCTCATTGGGCAACAAGCTGATGGTACTATAATTTCTTCCTCTACAAGTTCTCATAATATTACTGTGAAATAAAGGAAATCAACCTGAAAATTAATTCACTTTTCCAAACCAAAGATTTATAAAACTAAGGACTCATCCATCTTCCTGGCTAAGGGGTTCATCCTCAGTGCTAAGGTCCACTTCTGTTTATCTGCTACCATATATAGTGAAAGTGACTTAACTTATTAATAGCCATTCAGGGTTTAGAATATGTGCATTCCCTGTAAGTATTTTGTGACTCAGATTTCTCACAAAGCCATTTTTGTAGTTTCTCCCATTTTCGATCCTAACACTTATAGGTCTATAATATCGCAAATATAGCACCATAAGAGGTACAGAAGACGACTTAGAAATGCCTGGCATTCTTATTCTGTGCCTATTCTTATCAGTTTGAAAGACATTATAGGCCAAAAAATGAGTCCCAGGATTAAGTGGCGTGTTTGGTGTTAAATGAATTTACAACTATTCCCAATGAACAGGGAAACCTTCCCTCGCAATCTGAATCATGTGTAATTACAGTATGACAAGGTCTCTCCTGGGCTATGTAAGCTGGCATTTTTCCCAGGACTTGTCACATCATGGGAAGCACACATACAAATAAAAATCCAAAAATAAACATTTTAAAACAATGGCTTATAGACTATGTAAAGAAACTCCACAGTTGAGAATGAAAATCGAAGGGCCCAACGGACAAGCTGACATCTCACCAGAGACATCTGGGAAGACATGGTATCATCAAGTGGCTTAACCACCCCTAGCAACAACTCCCAGGTGTGGGCTGTGTGGGCAGCACCCTCACATGCCCCCAAGCTGGACAGAAAACCATTAGGTATGGGGAATAAAGGGGCACATCACCACACACACCCACTGCAGCAGAGAATGGTGGTGAAGTATGGGAAGGTTGAGCATCTTTAAATGCATAATGCCAATTTGTAGATGGTTAAGGCACCTAAACAAAGTTATCTTAAGAGCTACACATCCTCTATCAACTGACTTAGTTTCCCTGATTCAATAAACATGGTTGTTGTTTTTTTGTTAAGTATTATTTCACCTCGAAGTGAATAGCAGCCAAACAGTCATAATAGTGTGTACCAGGGATCTTAGAAGATGGTTTCTTTTGTTTAAATTCCTCTGCAGTGGCTCTATGGGCACATGGAAAAGGGAGAGGGAGATTCCAAGAGGCATCATACTCAATCTCTTAGAGTGACAGAAACTTGACAATACTCATCCTTATCACAGTTTTGAGGAAATGTGAATATAATATCCCTGGCTCTATTTTGATAGAAAATGCTAGCAAAATCTAAATGTCTTTCCCTATAGATCATGCATATTCCTCCCCATCTATTAGAAGCTGGATTCATTTATCAACCATCCAGCAGAGCCCATCAAATTCAACTATTCAAGTTTTCAAAAGGAACTATAAAACAGACCACTAAAGGCAAAACATACATCCTACATCGCAGTACATGAGCTCTGGAAACAAAAGTAAGCGTTAACACAAGCCTCTACCACCTCTAAGGCACACAGCATTTCTCTTTATTCCGCCCCTGAATGTTCAATAATTTCCACGTAGCTCTAAGCAGAATGGATTTATTATGATGTGACCCTAAGAAGCTGCAGGAGTTCTAGATGCCAATAAAGATTACGGATCAAATGGAGGATAACTACTAACCATTGTGTCCACTTAGATAAATAAACCTGCTCACAAACAAAGCACCTTATTGTATTTACATTGTTGCCTCCACTAATCCAACTAAAACAACCAGACAGTAGCTTTCCAGAGGCTGTGGGGAATAGAAATCAGGATTTCTCAAACTCTCTCTCAATTTCTTTTAAAAGAACACCCGGTTTCTTTTCTTCAAGACTGTCTTATCCTTTCTGGAAAATGTTTGGGAACCTAGGGCTCAGCAGGATTACGCAAACTAGAGACCACGGCTAAAAACCAAGGTGGGGAGGGACTGAAACACCGGACAAAACATCGTTCCTCTGAAAACTTAGACTGGACCTTTGCAGGGACCCGCTTCCCTTGCAGATCACATCGGGCAGACATTTCATTTCAGAAGGTTGTTCAAAATCAAATGAGCAGTTAAGTGCCATTGGGGATTGTGGATGAGAAAACCCCCCAACTAAACATAAAATCTTGACCGTGTAGGCTGGGGGTGGCTAATCCACAAAAGGAAAAGTCTGTGACAACTGGCCACTCAATGCCTCCTATACAGGGAGGAAGGCAGAGAAGACCCCAAAGAGAGGCGACTTCTCGAGAAGGAACAATAACTACGTCCCATACGTTCTCTGCCAATAACACAGGTAAGTCACCCATTTCTTGGGGGGGGGGGGGGCGGGGAGGGTAACTCAAGCTGTTTATTCCCTCCAGCCCCACTCCCCACACCCAACAACTAATTGCACCTTTCCCACAGAACCCGCGGCTAACCCCAGAGGACCGGTGAGGGCTGGCTGAGGATGAATAAACACTCGACACCTGACGGTGCTTTCTCTTCGGTGACTTTCTCGCAGCCGAAGCCGCCTGCACAGGCGGGAGCCCGGACCTCGCCAGCGCGGCGCCGTGCACCCGGGTCCCAAGGCTCGGCGGGCGAGCGCGACTGGGGGGGGGGGGGGGCGGGGAGAGGGGCAGGGGACCGCCGGGTCGAGCGATTGTTCCCTCCGCCGGCAAAGACATTTTTTATCGAGCTCCTTTTGTACTCGAGCCCTACCTCTTTTTGGCCTAGGGAAGCTTTCGTGCAAGTGGAAGACGACTTTCTCCACAAAGTGCTGGATGTTACTGTGCTCCGGGCCGCGCACGAACACCATCCAGTCGTGGGTGAAGCCCTCCACGGTGGGTTTTTTCCTCACCTGGGCGCGGTGCCCCAGCTCGAGCTTCACCTGCACGGCACACTGCGGGCAGCGGGAGGAGAGACAGCCGTGAACGACAGGAAGGCGACCCGTTCGACCCTGCACGTTGCGCCTGACATTTTTTTCCCCCCTTCCCTCCTGGAAACGCACATAAAAGGCAACGGCGGTGCCCTCTGCATCCACGTTTCACGCGCGTGGGCGCGCAGACTCCACACCCCCAAAGACACCCCACCAGCCGGGCCCAGCATCGACACCGGCCTGCATTGTAACGGAATGTTACCCCCCATTAGGAAGGGGGTCCGGGGTCTGGGGGAAGAGGGAAAAGCACACTCAGCCACGACAAGCACGACAACAAATGCATCGGGAACAAATCAGAAGACTATTCGGAGACGATGCCGGGGCGGTTTCCCGGCGTGGGAGGGGAGGTAGCCGGGACTCGGAAGGGGGTTCGGGCGAGCCCCCTCCCTGAAAGTACCCCGGCGACAGGCACACGCCGAGGAAGTCTTTGTGTACGTGTGTGTGTGCGTGCGTGTGGAGCGCTGTGCCAGGCTGAATGGAAACTACAGGCAGCCTCCGCCGATGGGCACAAACTCCCGTGCTCCTATCCTGGGGTTCGTGCACAACAAAAATGAGACCTGGTCACACACACATGCACGCCCGCCCGCAGGAAAACGCCGAGGCATCCATAACTTAAGGCACCCCGCACCCTCCAGCGCAGAGCCCCACGCGATCGGCGAGGCCATCCTAACCGAGCCCCCGCAACACACTTCCAAGAGCCAAAGTGGCCCCAAAGTACCTCCCACCCCCCCCCCCCCCCAAAAAAAATGAAATTCAGAAAGGCAGGGCGGCGGGCGGACAGCCACGGAGCCTGGGCTGCGCGCAGCCCCGCGCGGGGGCAAAGTTGCGTGCGGCCCCGCCGCTGTCAGCCCGCACACTCCGGCTCACACACGCGCGCCGCGGAGAACGCACCATCGTAGCGGCCGCCGAGGCTGCTCACCGCGTCCCCGGACTGTGCCCGCGGCTCCCGGCGGCGGCGGCGGCTGAAATATGGCTGAGTTATTATTCGCCTCCTTCCACCGTGTGTGAGTGTGTGTGAGTGCGCGCGTGTGAGCGAGAGTGCGCTTCTTGCGATTGCAAAGAGAGGCGAGGAGGGAGGAGGCGCGGGGGGTGGAGGGGGGGGAGAGAGAGAGAGAGAGAGAGAGAGAGAGAGAATGTGTGTGCGCGCGCGCGCGCGCCGTGGGGGGGGGGGGGTTGGAGGGAGGGGAGCCGAGGCTGAGGGAGAGGCAGCAGCTCCCTGCAAACCGTACCAACATTTTCTAATTGAAACCGCTGAGCGCTGGCGCTATCTGGGCTGCGGTGGCGGCACCGGGCGAGGGAGGAAAGGTGGGGGGTGGGGGGGGATCTTTTATTATTATTTTTGCATGTACTTACCGAGCTAGCCATGCCTGGGGGCTCGGAGGTTTGCTGGGGTGTTGTGAGGTACCCCCCTCCCCGCCCCCCTCAGCTGTAATTCATGAAGAGGCTGCTATGAATGAGAGCGCGCCCAGGAGCAGAGGGTAGATGGCGGACATTCTCTGCCTTTTTCCCCCCGCGTTCGCTCGCTCGCTGGGTTATTAAACTCAGCCCCAAAAGCAAAAGCAGCAGCGGCAGCAGCAGCTCCGGGGCCGGAGGATGAGATTCCGGAGCATGCGCCGTGGCGGCTGGCACCCGGGCTCCCAGCCTCTCGGGGCGGAGGGAGGGCGGAGCGCGCGGGGAGGCCGAGCGAGCGAGCCAGGGGGAGCTCGAAAGAGCCAATCGCCGGCCGCCTCCGGAAACCCGGCGGCCGGCCGCGCCGCACTGGAACGCCCCGCTTAAAGTAACAGGTTCCCGCTGGGGGTGGGGTGCGCAGGGTGTCGGGGCGGGGAGGGGGCGTTGGAGTGGGGGGAGAGGCCGGCTGGGGAGCCACCCCTGCCCATGTGTAAACTCCCTTCGCCCTACAATAAAAAACGGATTAAAACTGCTGGAATGTAGCCACTGCCCAGAGCCGGAGAAGGGGTGTTAAATCAAGTGTTTGGCGTTAGTTAGCACGCTGGAGGGAGGGAGGGAGGGGCTTTCTCTTACTTTCCACCACGTCTTTTTGTGGTTTTGTGCTGACAAGGCAAGAACTCTCACCCAAACAAACTTATTGAAGGACTGAGCCAGAGAAATACCATCCTACAAATAAGCAGGAATGAGCGATCGCTGAGACTGTTATAACCGGCAACAATCCCCTGGCCCCCTTCCCCATCCACTCACAGGCGCCAGCCCCCGCGCTCCCCACCCATCTGCCTCTGCCACCGCCACCGCCACGGAAACGATAAAGATGAAATGAACCGGAGAGAAGGGAGAATGCTATTTCCTTCCAAGGGAACGCCTCCCGCGTCGGTAGTCCACGGCGGGGAGGCATCCCAAAGCCGTGCCCAGGTGAAGGCGAAATACCTGGGCGCGCCGGGTGCAGACCTTCCGGGAGGGTGCTTGGAGTGGTTTCCTTCGGGATGTTTTCCCTCCTTTCAACCTGCCGGGTTGCATCAGAACGCGGAGGCTTGTCCTCTGAGGAAGCGAGGGGCAACTGGGAGCCTTAAAATATCAGATCAAGTGTCTACTGACTGTAATGTGCATCAATTGGATTCTACTCTTTAGGCGTATTGGTGACAGCCAACGTAATCCCATCTCTGCGCCTTAATCCGGTTAGGTTCCCGGAGTGACAACCAGTCGCGGAAGTGTTCCCGGAGGCGCGCGCCTGCAACGTCCCCACTCGGGTTGTTTGGTCTCGGCGGCCGGGGATGGAACAGCTCCGCCACGCGTGGGGCGGGGGGAGGAATACTGACTAGCTTCCTTTAGCAACGCAGACAACCTTTACAAAGGAAACGGATAAGATCTAGACAACTGATTTGAAAGTGAAAGATGGGTGTAACTTAGGTTCGTTAAGTAAAGATCCTTGCATCTCCCTAGCTCCCTTTCTGCCGCCTTGATCTTCTTTCTTTTCTCCCCCTCTTTTTCCTCCCTCGCTTTCCAGTTTCTTTCTGAATCTTTCCTTTGGCTTCATACTCTTTTCCCAACCTTCGCGCTTTACTTGCTGCTTTTCTTCTTTCTGGCTCACCTTTCTTGCTTTCTTTTCATTTTTCTTTCATAAAAACCACAAAAGCACGTTGTCTTAGCCCTTGGGTTAAAGAGAGTAGTGTAACGGGAAGGAGTGTAACGGGAGGAAGGCTACCTGGAGCATCCGGGGTCTTATTTGTTAATTTTCAGCCCTCCCAGCTGCTCGCAAAAAATATATATATAATGATAATAATAATAACTCGAATCAGACCCTCCACTTACAACCAAGAAAACTTCTCTGGCTTAGGGACCCCAACTTCTCCCATCTCTCTCTCTTGAAATTTAGCACAGAGTGAAGAGAACGACGGAGGGAGAAGCATTTTAATCCAAGGGCTTAGATTTCTCATCTGACCTACATGTACACGGATGCATATCATGCACCTGTAGGTGTGTCTGTGCATGCATATGAGGACTAAATATATATACACGTAGGCAAGCTGGGTGTTAGGAGCGACATGAAGGGTGGACCTGCTTGCTAAGCATTATTGCATTTTTTATAAAATAATCAAATTGGAAAGAAGCCCTTTGGTGTAATAAGATTGGAAACTGATGGCCGTCTGGATGTGCCATTAGCAAAGCCATTTTCTATAAGGGCGGCAACCAGGAGGCAGCCAGAGCAGCTCACCACACAGGTGAAAAACAACAATCCTGTTTTTATTTTAAGTTAACTTCAGGGTTTGACTAACTTCTCTTGAAACTTTCTCTTATAACTTGTACTCACGCTGAGGAAGTGATGTCTCCTTTTTGTATTATGCGTTTGCTGAATTCAGGTTTATTCCAGGAGTCACCAAAAAGTCATAGAGTCAGAGAGGGTCTTTTCCCATCGCCCCTCCTTTCTAGAAGAATGCTTTTAAGACCGAATGTAGGGGTAATTCTCATTATCCCGACCCTGCAAATACAGATTCCGTCAGTAGATGGCGCACAGAGCCCTTCCACCGACGTCCTTACGTGACCTCTTTTAGAACAAAAAAGACCAGGAGTGGGGCGAGATGAAAAAAAATACATAATCCTGAATACCCTAGAATAGATTCAACTTTGGGGTAAATATATGCCAGTCTGTCAAGTTATTGTTTATAACATTCTAACAAGCTGACTATTAATTAAAAACAATCAAAAGAGAATAATAAACAGGTTAATTTTGTGTTGAGCATATCTGAAGACGTTTGCACTTTAAATGCGGTACAAGTGTGGAACAACCTTTTGAGTACTTGACAATGTAATTGTCGATACTGTTTTGCAAATAAATTTTAAGGCAAACCTCTTCCATACTAACTAACAAAAATATTAAACATGGAAGTGATGAGAAATAAAAGCCATCTGTCTATCCAAAAAAGCAATTATCTTACCAAAATTTGTACTGTAGGACAGCACAATATGAAGCACCAGAGGGCTAGTTTTGAGGAACAGGAAACAAAAGCAATTGACCTCGTTATAGCAAATAAAATGTTTGATGAAGAGTAAAAGAGGACAATGTGTGGGACAGATCTTAACTCCTGATCACTACCATCATCACCCTCATTTTGGCTCCAGCCTTTTTATTTGCAATTGTCTTGTTCAGTTTGGAAGTTGAGGAAAGTTTGGATGTTTCTAGCACAAAATAATGCCTTTAGAGAGAAACTATGGTGTAAAGAAGCAACTGTTTTTCCTATTAAAATTTTATCTATTTATTTGTTGCGATAGATTACTGATGTATGAACTCAAATAATCAAATCAGTAAAAAAAAATAACCATTGCTCATGCATGGGGTGGGGGGATGATAATGGGACAGACACTAACCAGATATCTTGCAAATATTAGACTCAGAGTAATTAATGGTATACTTTTTCTGTGTACTTCACCCATGTGTTCATTCATGTGCCAGGCACAGAGTCAGGCTATAAGAATATAAGAATGGCAGGACTATTTCCAGAGATAAGAAATACAGAAAGCTTTTTTAAACACCAGAGCCTCTGCATGTGTAAATTATTCCCCATGAGAAATGTAGGCAATGCACTTATACATTCAGAAGACAAGAGTGCCTCCACCATACTTTATTACTTTAGTGGGCTGTATCTCTAATTTAATGAATAGCACCTAAAGGCCTTAAAATTAATCAAGAATATTTTGTAAGACCAACAATATGAAACAAGGTAAGTATTGGAGAAAAGTTGATATAGTATGATTGGTAAGGTCTTCCTAAAATATATGAGAATGCCAGTCGAATATTTATTTATAGAAAAAATACATATAAAGTGCCCCCCCCCAATAATGTATACACACTTTAAATAATTACAAAGGCAGTATTTATTAAAATACATTTCATTTTCAAAATTGAGTTATTAGCTGTTAAAGTATGTGTACAATTTTTGGGACACCCTGTATTAAATTGAAACTGCTTACTGTAAAACTATCTAAAAAGTAGACCATTTAACTATATCTTTATGTATATCTGGCAACTCTTCAAAGTCTACTGCCCAATTTCCTATTTTTAATAATGATGTGACTTTCTTGATTTTCAGTGGAAATTCTGTTTTTATATATGATTTCTCTGCTCCCATTTATATATTATTAATGGAAAGTTAAAATAATCACTTTATCCTAAAATCATAGACTATATTTTTCCTTATGCTGTAAAAATGGAAAAATAGCATACCAGGCCTATGAACTAATATAGACAGGGCAAACTTCAATTAAGACTGCGATAGAAACTTAGGAAGTAGAAATTACTTCCTTCAGTGTATTAAATGGTCTGAACAGTAGTTTGAAAATAATACTAAGCCTCTAAGAAATGAGTGATTTACTACCTTCTGGTAAGATCAAGTGTCCTGATTGGGTTAAAGTATTTATAGTCAGTTCTGAATAATCCATGAGTATAATGTCCACTTTGTAGATAATCTACAATGACACAATTTATGTGTGGGGTTTTTCAAATGTAAATTTATGTTAGAATCAGTAGATAGATAGATAGATAGATAGATAGATAGATAGATAGATAGATAGAAAATGCACATGACTGCATCTTTTTGTCAGTTTCCATTCATATTTTTCTCACAGAGAAGTTTATTAGCTCATCCTATCTCTTTTGGACCCCACTTTCTAACTTTTATTAAGAGGTAGAACGCTTTGGCAAAAACAAACAAACAAAAAAAAACCCTATTGATCTAGGGAGCAATATAAATTGATAGGGAAAAAAAGGAATAATCATTTACCAGTGCTGAATCAAAGGAACTCCTAGAGGCGATTGGTAATTATAGTTCTACGATGTATTTTCTATGAAATTGAATATAGGAATGTTAGTGAGAGACTGTCTTCTAACTGTAGTGGTAGCAATTTGGGGAAATTTCAAGTTGTAACAAGGAGATAAAAATCACTTATGAAGAGCAAAAGAGCTTTACTTATTTCCATACAATTAGACCCTTAACATATATTATTTCAATCGCTTTGCTTATGTTTCATGATTTTGACATTTTGGTTTTACTATTAATTCAATGTATTCAATTAGCTTTTATTGGCTCTCCATTGAAGGTCAGCCACTCTTCTTGGTCCTTTGAAATCAGGCTACAAATATAGGATGTCTTTAACGC